TAAAAAACTTTACAGACCCCAAGTAAGGAACTCCTGGTCAAGAGCATATGACTAGTTCCTGAAACCTTGCCTGTCTTTAGAACTCTTGTCCTTGAAGTCCCATACCCAGAAACTCTGCCCACTGACTGGGCATCTAGGGAATTTGTTCTACCTGCTGGATCCAGAGGCATGCCAACCCTGGGAACCAAGTTTGGGCATTGGAATAAAGCAGGTAGAGGTAATGAGCATTGGGAGTTAGCTTTCCTGGATCATCCCGGTGCCCCCAGAAAACCGTCCTGTTTAACCAATGTGATAAGTTGACAATGTAGTTTTTCTCTCTGATTATAATGTACTCTGTGTAGTCAATACACTGGTACCATGTGAGTGTAATTTCCTCTTTTATTTTATCTCCAATGCACTGTATTATAAATAAACAGTTAAAAAAAAACACCAAACAAATCTGTTGCATCTCCTTTTAAGATTGTACCACTGTAGACACTTGTTCTAGTAAGTAGAATTGGGCCCATTTGATTGCATTTAAATTTCTCCTGCTTCAGCAGTTTGGCTGGGAGCACAGTAAAGAAAAATCCCATGAGCGAGGAGAGTTTAGAATAATAGAACTTGATTTTGTGTATTATCGCGGCACCATTTGCGCTGCTTCAGTTAGGGTTGTGTCAGCACTTCCATTATAAACCCCTGTTTTCAGGGGGTTAGAGCTAGGGAGATATTTTTTTAATACAAATTAAAAAAAAACAATTCATTGGATGGATTCTAAGTTATAATATTATGGAAATAAAATAAAGTATAATCAAATAGAAATTGACCACTTCTACTTTTTTTGGGGGGGATGATTTTTCCCTTATCCATTAATAAAATGTCAATATCACACAGCTCAAGTCAAAAATACTGGACACTTGGGTGAAAAAGAAATTTTAATGCAAAAAACACTGCTCTAAGCATTTCTTAAAAAGCATTGCACTTGACTTTTTAAAAAGCTAAACTGTGGGCATGTTGGATTTATGTGGCTGTTAAGGGGAGCTGTGGTGGCGGAGTGGTTATAGTACTGTCATTAAGAGTAGTCACATGTGTCTTGCTAGCTTTGAGAATATAGTTTTCAGAGGACCTAGACAGGAGTCTTATAAGAGAGTCATTAAAACAAACAAACAAAGAATTAGTGACTGGGTACCCAGTAAAAACGAAGCTATCTCAGTTGTGTGAAATCACAGTATTTCGGTAAATAAGGAGTAAGTTACAAATTTAAACCACAGATTCAAGAAGCCTTCCATTTTGATTAAAATACAAAAAAGAAACCAATAATCCTAACAAATAGAAAATGTTCTCAATCTATTCATTCTTAAGAAATGAAATTAACTTCGTCTCCTATTTCAAAATAATTTTTGATAGCTAAGCTGGGTTAAATGCAAAAACTAGAGAGAGGAAAATGAATAGCCAAGGATAGATAGGGTTGGATTTTTGAAGGGCCGTTTGTGGAATAGTGAAAAGAGTGTGGGGTTTGGAGTCAGAGGGCCTGGTTCAAATTCCAAAATAGAATTAATTACCTATAGAACTATGGGCATACTCATTTTTACTTCTCTAAGCCTTGCTTTGCTCATCTGTAAAATGGGAATAACGATATTTTTGATACCTACCTCATAGCATTTGTTGGCAGGGAAGAATCTTCATTGCTTTAGATATGTAATTGATGATTCTTTTTTACCCTAAAACTTGGATCTGGCATCAGTATATCTACAGTTGTAGAAATTGGTAGAAAACCAGGATTCTAAACTGTCACATGAAAGACAACTGTTATGCTATAAGTAGGTGGGAGTTTTCTGAATGGTCATTGGAGGAATCACCAAAAGCCTGTTTATGAAGTCAAGGTGAAGCCTTTCCTGACTAATTATATTCAGCGTGTAATTTCTAAACTTCACTCTGAATTTTGATTTTCAATTAACACTCCCAATTTGAAGATAATTTTCTATTTAATGTAATTGCAGGAAATAATTTATTGGCTGATTAAGACCGAGGGCCCAGCCTTCCTTAAGAAAACACTCCCTAACAAACCAGCCTTGAAACCCAACTCATAGTTTTGGCCAGATTTAGACTATTTTCACAGCTGCATGGTGTGTTTAATGAAGATGGTGCACTATTGTTCCTTGGTGCAATTTATAGATGGAATTATTCTTAAGAAACTGTTTTCATTTCTAGTTCTGTGTCATGATTGATTTATCCCAGATAAATAACCAGAGCCATAGCCATTGGAAGGAGTCAGTTCAATTTGCAATAAGATGATGTCTGTCTGTCAGGGAGGTGAAACCACTGGGAGTATGTTGTATTGTGTCTTTCAATTATAGCAAACATTTTTTAAAAAATGTCTCTAAAATGGCAGCACATTTATTCTTTTGTTTTAATATGAATATTTACATTCATCCCTACATGAGAGCATCTCTTTTCATCCAATCTATGGAAACTTTTCTCTTGTTTGTAGCAATATCCTAAGAAACTTAGGTCACAGTTCTTTTAAAGTGACCAACCTTGCTTCAGTGGTAACTAGAGGATCAAAGGAAGAAAGATCCAGATGGGCTTGTGGACTTGGTAACATTTTCAGGGGTATTTCACCTATTGGTTGGTTTTGACCGAACTGGGCATATCTATCTTTCACTTTTCAGACTGATGACTCTTGTGTCAACATTTCCTACCTTTCTCCTCCAGGGAAACACATATATAGATTGCTTTGAGTCACCTCCCTGCTGTTTTCTAGGTCCCAATTTTAATAGGGATTTTTGTTCTTATTTGTAGGATGGTTATTATAAACAGGTACTCACATTTTAATATGCTTCAAAGTACTTTCAGGGCTTGTACTACTTTTATTTAGAACTATGCATAATTAGATTAGCTGATCCTATATTAATTTTTTTCACTGTAGGATACTAAATCTGAGCCCCCTCATTAATTGTGAGAAATTTAGCATTAGCTGTTAAATCCTATGTGAAACATGGGCTGCTACATTAAAAACTACTGTTTAAATTGGAATTAACTTAATTATTTTTCTTTGCACTTGATATTTCCTTCACTGCAATATTCATGAAAGCATGTGACAGATTTGTAAATTTAACTGTTAATCTCAGATTTCTAGACCCTTTAATCAGTATTTATTTGTCTGTAGAAACAGTACTAGCAAGTTAATGATTTGCTAATTTGAAAAATGCTCATGTGGTTTCCTATGTTAACTGATTTGTGCATTTTTAAAAAAATGGTATGAAATCAATTAATGTTAAAGAGCAATTAAGGTGGGGGATTTTCTTCTTTTTTGTTACATAGCAGTTTTAGTATTAAAGATGTCACGAACTTAAAGCAGTTCCAAAAATTAGGGAAAAGTGTATTCCTGTTGTCATGCCTCTTAAGTTACATGGTTATCTATTTACTTTCATCTATGAAATTAAGAAAATCCTTTTCTCAATAAAAAAGTGCTATTGCGTTAAAAAAATTCATTTGAAGAATTGTAGTTCTATTACTGTCTGAAAGGACAGGACAGAGACATTGTATCTTCTCATAAACTTGACTTCTCAAATGGTATCAGATAAGAGTCAATATATTTATATTTGTATATATGTATAAATGAATATTCAGTCATTTGTTTGGAGGACAGATTTTAAAAATATTATTCACAGAAGTCATTTTACTATTCTCATTTCACTGGATTCTTGAAAATGCTTTGTATCTTGTATGTACTATCTAATATAAAATGGAAATATAATTATTTCAGGCACTCAACTCAAATGGTACAAAATTGCCTTAAGACTAATCACACATTATCAGCCAATCAATCAATATGCCACTTAAACTTTTATAGCAGTTGACATGTAAATATCTTGGAAATCTTTGGAAAAGAATCAGATTGGCTTCAAAAAGCATTAAGCATAGAACTCATTAATAGAAGGCACAAACTAAATCAGAACTCAAGAATCTGATTTGCTTAGGACTTCCATAGTAAATTATTTACTTCCCTGGCTAAATTTCCTAAGGGCCCTGCATAGACTTCCTTTCTCTGTGGTTATAATTTGGTTCTTACAAAGGCTATTGGAGGAATTTAGGCCTTTGGATTCTTCAAATCATGCTTACAGCTGACTAATTTGGACACTGGGGAAAGATGGGTTCAAACTCCAGAACTGTTCCTTAAAAGCCCATTTGTGGATTGATTGGGGCTCAGAGAGAAGATAAAATATAGGAAGAATTTTGATGAAAACGCAGTGGTTATCCAAGAAAGGATGGATATTTTGTAGTTACTTACCAGGATAGATGGTGCATCCTTCCCCTCCCCCGCCAGTAGAATGTTCATATTATGTAGTACAATGGCTTTAGATCTGGAAAGGACCTTGGAGGTTAACGAGTTCAATGGTAGCATTTTGCAGATGAGGAAACTGAGGCCCAGAAAGGTTAAATATCTTGCCCAAGGTCAGAAAGTGAGAGAAGCTATAAGCTCTTACAGGGGCTTGGAGTGTTTCATTTTTGTCTTTGTCACTTCGGTACCTCCTACATCAGTGCTTAGCAAGGAGTCTGTGCTTATTAAGTGCTTATTGCTTTGATTTGAATGGAGACAGCAAGACAAGTTTGAATTCCCTTTTCTCCTGAGTTCATGCCCATCTTACAATTGGGAGAAATGACAGAGAAATATAGGATTAGTCCATCAATTAATCAATATATTTTTATTAAGTACCTACTTTGTGCCAGTTACTATGCTAGTTACTGGGGTTACAAGTGGGCCCCTTCTAAAAATATTTTAAATGCCTAAAATAAAATACATAAGATGACAAAAAAACTCAATTATATTGAAATAAAGTGGTAATAATTTTTTTCCTGCTTAAGCTTACAGATCTCTTCCCCCCCACCACTTCTATCCATGGGCCCACTGGGGGTCTGTAGAACCCAGGTCAATAACTCCTGGTTTAGATCTTGCGCAAATTTTATTCCTGTGACTCCAGCTGTCCATGCTGATCTGTGCCACCTTCTTTCTTCTGCAGAAGAATGTCTTCCAAGCAAGCCACCTCTCCATTTGCCTGTGCAGCTGATGGAGAGGAAGCGATGACCCAGGATTTGTCCGCTCGGGAAAAGGAAGAGGGCAGTGACCAGCACGTGACCTCCCACCTGCCTCTTCACCCTATCATGCACAACAAACCTCACTCTGAGGAGCTACCAACTCTTGTCACCACCATTCAACAAGATGCTGACTGGGACAGTGTCATCTCAGCCCAGCACAGAATGGTAAGTCTGTGGCCAGGACGCTGGACCCCAAGTCAGCCATGACCCATGGGTCTTTTAAGGAAAAGTGACAAATGCTGGCCATTTTAAACAACTCCTAGCACAGCTTCATGCACATAGTTATTACAACACTGATAAGTGGTGAGGACCAGACAATGTTTGACAGACGGATGGTTTGATATTTAACTGATGTGCAGGGCTGGGATGACCTGTCAACAGCTTTTCACCAGTTCTGAAGGGCATGCTCATCTCCCTCCATGAGCAGGGGGTAGGTAGACTCAGGAAGATCACGATATAAGTAATGGTCCGATGAAGTGTGGCTGTGGATTCATGTTGTGTAATCTCGTTAAGTAATCATGTGTATGGGAATGAGGTCATATGGAGAATAGATCTTCAGTGAGGAGATGCAGGTATTTATCATACTCTTCCATGGTCATGTTTGATTTATAATGAAGCATTTCTAGCTTGTGTACCTGTGTATTAATTTAAAAGAGACACAGAAAGCTCCTGAGTATCATTCCATCAGGCTGGAGGAGTTTTGCCGGAGGCAGGAACAACTGCAGATTCATGCATATATCAGCGGGCCTTTCTGAGGTTGAACATCATCTCCAGCTATCGAAACAGATACTATTAATTAATATGAGAACATATTCATTACTGAATTTAAATCTAAAATGTTCCCTTTTTTAATATTTGGAACTGACGCCTCAGTAAACTTCATTGGGTTAGAAATTGTGGTCCCGTTCTGCATTTTTGGCCTTTTGTTTATTTTGTAAGAAATGGGAATGTAGACTTTCCCATCTCAAGAAACAGAATAATTTAGAAAACCTTGGTTTCCTACCAATACCATAAGAATAACTTGCTTTTGTTTGAGGCTTTAAGGTTTACAAAACAATTTTCTGATGGCAAACCTGAGGAGGAAGACAGTACAAGTATAATTATCTTCTCTTCTTAGTCCAGGAAGCTGAGGTCCTGGGAGGCAAATGGATTTCTTCATGATGACATCACTGGTTATTTTCTTAGGGAGGATTATAGTCCAGTCCCAGTCTCCCAAGGCCAAAGTCATCCTTCATTCTGTCCACTGGGCAACACTGCCTCTCACCAGGCCTTTTTCATTCCCACTTTTGTGCTGTGCTTCTAGAGGCAAATGAAATTATTCTATTTGATAAAAACAGCACCCACATTCAATAGCTTTGGGACCCACATGGCTCACATTTTCATATATTTTTACAGATACAAGTTAGCTGCTGACACACCCAGGGCTATGGCAAAATCAGCCAGGAATAGGGCTAGTGATATGTTCATTTCACAGATCGGGGAATGGACCTTTTCTGGGCAAAGCTGAAGTCTTAAAATGAATAGTAAACAGCTCAATAGATATTCGCAAGTCAACCAAATGAGGCTCAACTTCTGAACATACTCCACTGGGGAGCATGTCTGCAACCATTTAACATTATCGTTTATTAGGCAAACTTTCTTCATGGTCAGGCATATATCATTAGGAAACAGAGGATGTGTATTTCTGCATAGGTTAGGCAGTTAGTTGGAAGGTACACCACAGTGGATTGACCATCAGCAGCATACTCAGCCTCTTGGGGTATCAGTTTCTTCATCTGTAAAATGGAGATAGTAATTTCTATGTGATATAATGTTCAAGAAAAATGTTACTATTTTTGTTAAGGGTGGGGTCAGGATTCACATTCAGGTTCTTTTGACTAAGTATCAGGCACAAGCTTTCTTAGTCATTGTGTTCTGTTGAAAATTAGATGCCTGAATCACCATGTACCCACAAAGCAAGAGAGAAAAGGCAGGGCTTTAGTCACTGCTGTTCTCTTCCCTTTACCCTTAGGAGAACGTCTACAACATTGGACTCAATTGACTTCTGGGTGTCACTTGCATGTCCAGTTTAGGGGAGACCATTTCAAAATGCTCCAACTTCTATTGATTTCTTACCTATAGTTGTATCAAGGCTCTTTCAACTTCCTCTGCTTTGAGAGCTAATGAATTATGAAATCACTGAGGTTGATCCCAGCCCTAAATGTGGTTTACACATGTTAATAAGCTGTAGGCTCTGGAAGTTTACCTCAAATTGCTTTGAGAACATGTAGTGATAAGAGATAGAACTACCACACCAGGGCCTCTTTCTCCCTTAGGTTCCACATTGCTTTAGGTCAGTGGCAACTGCATCCCACTGGGAGGAGAGGAGGAGAGTAAGGGAGGGAGCCAGAAAGGGAAGCAGAGGGATGGCAGCCTTGAGAGCCTGAAAAGGACTTTAGAGATCATGAGTCCAATGCTCTCATTTTATAGATGATGTAACGAAGACCCAGACAAGTGATTTGTTTGAAGTCATTCAGATAGTAGGAGGCAGCCAGATGGAATGATAGATAGAGTTTTAGGCCTGAAGTCAGGAAATCTTGAATTCAAATGCAGCCTCAGACACTTACTAGCTGTGTGACTGAAGGCAAGTCACTTAACCTTTGTCTGCCTCAGTTTTCTCATCTGTAAAATGGGGATAATAATAGAACCCATCATAAGGTTGTTGTGAATATTGGATAATATAAAAATTCTAAAGTGCTTTGAAAACTTTGAACTGCTATAGAAATACTCGTTGCTAATTCTTAGAAGAGTGAAGGTTTGCCTCAGGTCATCTCACTCTAAATCCAGAGCTCTTTCCCCTTCATCATGAAAAAAAAAATGAAGGAAGAAAGAAAAAGAGAAAGGAAGAGAGTCTTACAACTAGCAGAGGGCCATGGAGCCAATGGGTATTGAATAGTCAATGAATAATAAACGATAATGTTAAATGGTTGCAGACGTGCTCCTCAGTGGAGTGTGTTCTGAATTTGAACCTTGTTCGGTTGACTTCTCATGAATCCTTTTTTCAGGATGGCAGGATAGTATGGCCATTAGTTTTGTTGTCAAGAAGCCAAGTGTTGAAAAAAAAAAAAAGAAATTTTACAAAAGTCCTGAGCAGGAAGTCTCTCTACTAGCAGATTGAGACGGGAGAAAGACAAAATTGTACTTGTAGTGAGAATTTGACTATTTCTGTCAGTCAAAAATGTGCTGCCACAACTTCAGTGGAGTATGTCGTTTTTGCTCTGGCAGGGGGGTGGTCATTCATCTTCAGGCTTTAGAAATGCAGACTGTTTTGTGATTTGAAATTTTGAAAAAAAGTACATGAGATCAGTTATTTCCAAAATTTTTATCAAATAAAATTTATAGTAATATAGAATACTTTAAAGTTGTAAGTACATTATACATCATCATCAAAAAAAGCATATTGGCTAGAAATGTTTTCAAACTCTCCCTCCCTTTTGATATCAAGCATTGCTTTCCACTGGTGCCTTTGTGAATTCTGAATGTCTGGAAGCCAAAATATTTTGTCTTAACTCCCACTCTATAGTATTTCCCAGCTGTGTACTTATATGGTGTAATAAAAGGATTTAACAAATGGGAAATAGCAGCTGCATTTGGAGATTCCCTTTGTGCTCCCGTTTCATTTGATAGATGCAGCAATGTGTAACCAGTGCAACGTCAGACCTGCAGTGACTTAAAATTGCAGGCATCAGATCACCAGTCTGCTTGACTTTACTGTAGAGGGAAGAAAAAACAAGTTTCAGAGAGTGGTCAAAAAGCTGCAGATAGGCTATTTTGCAGGGAGGGTGAGGTTAGAGCCAAGTAAAATTTTGGGTAGGCATTTAATCTAATTCTGCTTAAAGATTGATGTGAAGTGTAAAGGTGGGATAGGAGGGTGAAATGAAATTCACAGCTCCTTTCTATAGCAGTTCATCCTCTTCACCCTGGGGTTAGCTCATGTGAAATAATGGGACGGAGGGAGGAGCACTTTTTTTTAAAAGACAGACAGCTTTGGTAATGCTATTTTTATTAGTGTTGTATGTCTTATGTGATCCCCTGTGCTCATGGACAGTCAGAAGAGCACCAGTACTCTCTTATCTTCTATGTTCAGGAAGACTTTTGCTTTTCAAAAATACAGACCACAGAATGAATCTCTCTCTCTCTCTCTCTCTCTCTCTCTCTCTCTCTCTCTCTCCCTCTCTTTCTCTCTCTCTCTCCTCTCTCTCTCCTCTCTCTCTCTCTCTCTCTCTCCTCTCTCTCTCCTCCTCTCCTCCCCCCTTCCTTCTTCCTTCCTTCCTTCCTTCCTTCCTTCCTTCCTTCCTTCCTTCCTTCCTTCCTATTACAAGGCAGATCTGGTGTTCACCTAGAAAGTTAGTGTGATGTCACAAAAGGAACTCTGAGTTCAAAACGAGGGTATACTCATTAAGATATATATGTTCTTATTTTAGTCACGTTAGCTCTCTTGCCTTCAGTGTCCTCTGTGAAATGGGATCATACTACAGGAAACCTAAGATTTCTTCTAACTCTATTTCCTATAAACCATACAGCCTTACCTATTGGAAATGAAAGGGGCCAACAGCAACAGCAATAATGACAATAAAGTTTGCTTCCTAAAAGTTAGGTCCCAAAGTTGAGGTGGCACAGAGTTCAAAACAAAACAAAACAACATTGCTGTTCTTTCCTCACCTTTCCCTTCACAGCATCCACTATTATAACAAAGAACTCTATGTATTAGAATAATAGCTAGCATTTATATAGCACTTTAAGGTCTACAGAGCAATTTACACATGATCTCATTAGATCCTGCCAAAAACTCTGTGAAGTAGATGCTAGTATAATCTTCCATTTTACAGGTCAGTCAACTGAGGCTGAGAGAAGTCGCTTGTGGTTAGTTACATAGGTAGGATGAGTCTGAGGTAAGATCGGAACTCAGGGCTTTTTTGATGCTAAGTCCAACATTCTATCAGTCTGCTAGTCAACAAGCATTTATTAAACACCTACTATAAGCTGTTCTCTGTGCTAAGCACTAGAGATATAAAGAAAGGCAAAAGACCTTGCCCTTGAGGAGCTCACAATCTAATGGGGAAGACAACATGTAAACAGCTGGTTATAAACAAGCTACATATAGGAAAAATAGGAAATAATCAGTA